ATCAGATGCCAAGGTGACACAATTTACTTCAAAAATTAAATTATAAAAGAAAAGGCTTATACACCCTTACGACAAAGCCACCTTGAACATAGGGAAAATAGAAAACTGAAACATAAGACAGAAATATAAATTCTACAGTGTCAAAGACTATGTTAGGTCACTGTTATATATTCCTATCCCATGTACGGTGTCAAGGTGTCCTTTGACACCTTAACAAAGAGTGGTATTAGGTTGGTAAACAGAATCCAGTCACTGACTGTTTACAAATACTGACTGCGAGTTGACTTTATATACTTAAGACGAAGCAACTTTCAACAATAACACTGTAGTATTATCATGTATGTTCATTTTCCATATATTATACTATACTAATTATACTTCTAATTAAAGTAGAGAAGGGATTTAAAGCAAAGATCTTCAAATACCAAACTTTAATTTTGGACCACCAAATCTACAATCCTTAGTTGTCCAGTGTATCAAACTATGTAACCATTATGGGTATCAATTAATAGGATTCAGTTCCAAATCTAAAACAATTATGACACAGAAGATGTGAACTGGCTTCAATGCATGCTAGATGCCATACTTCACACAAGAATATTCGATCCAGTGGGTTTTTTTTCTGCCAAAACAGTACACAGATTTTGTTCTGGGTTTTGCACAAAAGGTTTGACTCTCAGTAAGCTGGCTAGGATAATGAAGCATCATTAATTCATACAAGGTAATCTGTAAAGCATGAGGCTACAGTGAAAACAGAAATGTACCTGCTCTTATTTATTTCCAGACCACTGTCTCTATAATACAAAACAGGTATCACATTTTTGAAAAGGATCTGCAGAATACTATTTATCTTGACCAAACTACAAAAAATTAGTCACTTATATGCCTTTGCCAGAAAGACTACTTTTATCTATTTGTTGAGTCAATTTTGTTGCGTCCAACTTTGTGACCCCATTTGGGTTTTTTTTGGCAAAGATAATGGAGTATTTTGCCATTTCCTTCTCCAGCTCATTTTACAGATAATGAACTGAGGCAAACAGGGTTCAATGACTTGCCCAGTGTCACACAGCTAGTAAGTGTCTGAGTCTCAGGTCCTTCTGACTCCAGGGTCAGTACTTTATCCACTGTGATACCTAGCTGCCCATCTATACATTTAAGAATATACAAAGACCCATTTCTCCTCTTACCAATTGCTATAGATATAAAGCTTCCTAAAGACAGAATCTGAAAAAAAAAAATGAAGACAGAATCTGCACTACTGATTAGAGAAATGCAAACAAAAACAACTCTGAGGTACCACCTTACATCTATCAGATTGGCTAATATGACAAAAGGAAAATGATAAATATTGGAGGGGATATGAGAAAACTGGGACACTAATACATTGTTGGTGGAGTTATAAACTTATCCAACCATTCTGGAGAATTTGGAACTATGCCCAAAGGACTATAAAACTATGCATACCCTTGGATCCGGCAATACCACTGCTAGGTCTGTATTCCAAAGACATTTTTTAAAAAGGGAAAAGGACCTATTTGTACAAAAATATTTTTGTGATGGCCAAGAATTGGAAATCGAGAAGATGCCCATCAATTGGGGAATGATTGAACAAGCTGTGGTATATGATCGTGATGAAATATCATCATTCCATAAGAAACAACAAGCAGGATGATTTCAGAAAAACCTGGAAAGACTTATATGAACTGATGCAAAGTGAAATGAGCAGAACCAGGAGAACGTTGTATAAAGTAACAGCAATACTGTATGATAAAGAACTATGAATAACTTGGCTATTCTCAGCAATACAATGATCCAAGACAATCCCAAAGGAGTCACAATGAAACATGCTATCCACCTTCAGAGAAAGAACTGATATTGTCTGAATATAGACTGAAGCATCTTTCTTTCTTCCTTTAATTCTTTTTTTTTGGTTCAAGTCTTCTTGTACAAAATGACTAATATGGAAATGTTTTACATGATTGCACATGTATAACCTATACTAGATTGTTTGTCATCTCGGGACAGGGGAGGGAGGGAAGAAGGGAAGGGTAGAATTGGAACTCAAAACTTAAAAAAAATGTAAAAAATTATTTTTACATGTAATTGGGGAAAAATAAAGTATTTTTTAAAAAGATAGAATCTGAGCTAATTTGAAGATATATGCTGAGTGAAGTGAACAGAACCAAGACAACGTTGTACGCAGTAACAGCCACGCTGTGCGACGACTGATATTGATAAACTTAACCCTTCCCAGCAATACAAGGATCTAAGACATCTCCAAAGGCCTCATGATGGAAAATGCTACCCACATCCAAAGAGAGAACTATGGAGTTTGAATGCAGATCGAAGCATACTATTTGCTATTTTATTTTTCTTCTGTTGAGTTTTGTTTCCTCTTTCTGGTGGTTCCTCCTATTGGTTCTAATTCTTACTTACAACATCACTAATGTGAAAATATGTTTAATAGGAATGTATATGTATAGCCTATATCAGATTGTGCACCATCTTGGGGACGGTGGTGGGGAGTAAGGGGGAGAAAAATTTTAAACTCAAAAGCATATGAAAGTGATTGTTGATAAATCAAAATAAATTAATAAAAAACATAGATGATGCTTAAAAAATTTGAAGATATCAAAAACATTTTTTAAAGAATCCTACCTACAGGAGATATAAAACAGCTCAAATGATCAGGAAGGGAAATAAGCACAATATGAAACTGAGTTTAAGATTTGTTTGTGGTTCTGAAAATTTTAGAACTTTAAGATTTCAAATAAACATTTTAATCTCTTATTCTAAGTTTTATTAAAAAAAAATCACATGATAATCATTACCACTACTATAAAACTCCCATCAGAACATGGAATGAAGCCAACCTAGGAAAAGGTAAGCAAGATAGTGTGACTTCTTTGAAACATGATCTGTTTAATGAATTTTGCCCCAAAATTCAATTTTTCACTTAGACTAAAATAATTTTCTAATGTATCATACAGTTTGAGACACCACTCAGTGACATCTCTAGATATCTACACTACATAAATGAGTTCTGTCCTCATACTGCAATTTTAGTCCTATATCTCTTGCTGTGACTGTGAACAAATCCGTTAGGCTCTCTAGACCTTGGTCTCCTTAGCTATAAAATAAGAACACTGGGATTAGATGATCTCTAAAGCTCATTATAGCTCTATGATGCTATGATTCATATCCAGAAGAAACGTCGTCTCTCCCAGAAAATTGGCTTCCCATCCCAATTCATCTATGTTTTCCTAGGCACTGAGGCTCAAAACATTGGAATCATCACCAACTTAGCTTTCTCCTCCATTAATCAATCAAAAATTTATTTGTCATCTATTATGTGCACAAAACTCTGCTAATTGTCAGGGATATAAAGAATTAGAACTACTTATAATCCAGATGAGAAAAGATAAGATAATCCAAATGTGAAAATTTAAATAACATAAAAATTCAACAACAATAAAAGAAAGGTTAGATGTGATTATTTGGCAAAAGCTTCATGAAGGAGGCAGATCTTGACCTAAGCTTTGATAAGTAGTGAGAATGTCCCAGGCAGGAAAACAACTAGAGTAAAAGCACAGCAGCAAATAATGTTTTGGAGAAGTAAATGGGGTGGGGGGAGTAAGGGGAGGGAATTGGAGACAGGTGGTCATGGCCTTGAATGCCAAGCTAAGAAAGTCACATTTTATTCTGAAGGCAGTGGGAAACCATGAGCAGAAAAGTAATATGATAAAAGTGTTGAACAAGCTTAGTCTGGCAGCAAGGAGTAGGGTATTTTGAAGGAGAGACCAAGTACAGAAACCAGTCAGGAGATCATTTCATAGTACAAGCATCAGGTGCAAGTTTCTGAACAAGAGTGGCTCTGTGGCAGAGAGGCTGGTGGAAGACAATGCGGAGGATGAGTGCCCAGGACCTGGTGATGGGTGCCCTGAGCACCCAGCCGTCACATGCCATCACTGCCTGTGCCCAGACCTCCATTCCTAGATCGCTCATTACGAGGTTCCGAGGAGAATCCCTTGTCTCCAGCTTCTTCTCACTCTAGCCATTCTTTATACTACTTCCTGACTGATTTTTGCCCAAAGAACACTTTTGTTGTGCCACTTTCATGGTTAAAAATATTTCACCTTTCCTTACTTTCTACTGTGCCAAATCTAAATCCATATTCTGGACTTTCAAGATCTGGTTCCTCATTATTTGCTCAAACCTTATTTTCTACTCTTCCCCAACACATTCCTTCTATTTAAAACAGAAGGGTTTTGTCCAGGGTGAGGAACCTGAGGCCTCGAGGCCACATGTGGCCCTCCAGGTCCTCAAGTGAGGCCCTTTGACTGAATCCAAACTTCACAGAACAAATCCTTTTAATAAAAGGATTTGTTCTGTAAAACTTGGACTCAGACAAAAGGCTACACCCGAGGACCTGGAAGGCCCTATGTGGCCTGGAGGCCGCAGGTTCCCCACCCCTGACTCCTGTTACTGTAAAACAAAGTGCTCATTCCTGTTTGAGCTTTGTTCATGGTATTCTTGTGGTCTAGAAGGCTTACTCTCCTTTGCTACCTATCCAAATCCAACCAGTGCTTATAGGGCCACTTCAAATCTTCTCTCCACCAGGACCCCCTCACCAACCAATCCAGACCTCACTAATCTGCCTCTTCTATGGATTCCTATAATATTTCAGGTCTGTAATACACAATTTAACTACTGATTAATATATCTCATTCGCTATCAATTCATATGTTGGTCTTATCTCTCTATTAATACCGTGTATGCTTTTTAAGGACACAGAGGTATGTTTCTATCTATAACAATAATTACTTTCTAAAACTTTTTCTCTGACTTTGACCCTTGGAAGTTCAGAGACAATGGGAAAAGGGGAATTGGTTCATCTTACCACAACTATTATAATACTCACACATTTCTGAGAAAAGTTTTGCAAAACAATGGCTGTCAGACCAATTATGTCATCAACTAGCCTTGTAAAATACACTCACCATTGAAAGGGTTAATTTCTGCTGAAATTCGTGAAATAATGGCTTCTTTAACTTCTTTTTTCTTTACACATCGAATCCCCAAATTCTGAAAACTAGAACAGAGCAAAATAAAGAACTATTAAATAAATGATTTTTTAAATCACAAAAACAAGAGTGAGGTCTGTAATGACCTACTGAATACTGCTAAAATTAATCACTTTAATACTAACTGATGGTGATCTAAAAGTGACAGAAAGCAAAAGGAAAGTAATATTAAGTTTCTAAAGTATACATTAAAAGGAAAAAGAAACAGAATGTACATTTTTACACAAGATATTTATAAATGCATTCTCACAGTATGTCCATGTCAAATTTACCAACCCAGAAAACAGTGTAATCACCAAGATCAGAAGACTAAAAATCACCAAGAGTGAGTAATAGGTGCTTACAAAGGATTTGAATAGTTGATATTATGTCACCTTAGAATGTGTGGTCCTAGACAACAGTGAAGTATCGTTTGTTGTACATAGTACTTCATTATCAACTACAACATTATTTATCTTCAATATGGGAGCAATATCATTCAGAAGAATCAATGGGAAATTAAGAGATTTTGATACTTAAAAATTAAACATTTACAAAGTTTCAAAATGTCACATTTATGGAAAAGTTCTGAATAGCTATCAACACTACTCATTTGCATGTGACTAGTAGAGATCACTGCCAGGGGACTGCCCCACCACCACCAGCAGTCATACATAGTCCCACATGGAAAAACCATTACATCATTAAAGTTCGGTGGATGTGAACAAGGAAGCAAAGCTCTGCTATAATAATATTACTGTTCCTTCAAATTTTATTTAGCAATTCAAGTAAGCTTTTCTTATTGGCCTTCTCAACTATCATTAATCTTTTCCTCCAAATACTCTCAGAAAATACTCAATTCATATACACTTGGCTTTGCTTAATTTGCACCTGAAATTACTTTGAAGTTTCCTTTCTCTATCTAATGAAGTTGTGTTTTCTATAAAAGATTCTACATTGCTGAAATTCCTGAAATCATATAATCTCTTCCTCAAGAGTATTCCTAGCTTTATCCAGAGATAGTAAGGCCATCTTTCAATTTTTCTATAGGAAAGGGCTTGTCAGTGAAATACTCATTTGAAAACAAAGTCAAGTAATTTCTAAATATATTATTTAATTAGACTTCACTGTTTTTCATATAATTTTAGACCAGTAATGACTGTAGCATCATAGATTAGAACATATCAAGTCTGACCCCCTCTTTCAGAGAAGAAATTGAGACCCAGAACTTAAGTAATTTGTTAAGGTCCAAATCTCTCTAACCTACCTAGTTAGTGGCTGAACCAGAATTTGAACACTGTTCTAACTTTCACTCCTGTGCTCTTTCCTCTAGACTACATTGCCTCTCTATATATCCTTCAAGGTAAATACACATTCAGATTTTATGTTCATCCAAAGTAAAATGATCTCATTTCTCCCCACAAAAGATAAAGGTATACCACTAGTATTACTGACATTATAACAAGTTTTTTATTTTTATGGATTCACAAGAATCAATTGAAAATCCTAAGCACTGTATTATTAGTATACGTTAAAAAAATTTTTTTTTCATCTTAGGAATGGAAAAAAGAAGGCAGTCCAGTCAGTTCAATGTTCCAATAACAAATACTACAAATCCAGGGGACAGGAACATTAAGGGGAACAGGTTTTGCTCATGACTCAGATTCTCTTTACCTCTTTTTCCATTCATAGTTTAGCCTAACCCAAGAAATATGGAATATAAAATTAAACGATGTCCAAGCAACTACAAATCTACAAAGTATTTATAACTAATAATAAATTACAAAGTATAAACATATTATATCCTTCACATGGATAAACAGTTGACAAATTAGCAAAGTCATTAATTACAGTGCTATGTTATACTTCTACTGTCAATTATATTTATTTGCTTGAAAATAGTCTGCTGCCCTTTATTATAGTCATAAGTGCCTGACAGAAATATCAATGCACATGACTTACACATCTTGCTTTTGTAGTTACAGAGGCATATTCATGGATGGAGAAAACAAATGCTTCCTGATAAACACTATTTCAAAGACACCAAGACAGTTTCCATGTTTTCCAAAAAATACCAGTTTGCTTGAACAAAAACTCTACCTTACTTAAGTGAATATGCAAATTCTTCCTCTCTATTTCCCCTTTCTCCTCTTCCCAGCCTACCCTCACAAACATTTTAAGTAGTTGTTGTTATTAAACCTTAGGGAGAATGGATTTCAGATATTTCCTAAGAACAGGTTTTAACTGGGAGTGGAAGAGTGGGATGGGAGAGATGAGGAAGAAAGTAAGATGAAGATGCTAAGGACTAGAGAAAGAGGGACATGAAGGACAAAGAAGAGCACATAACTGAGAGGCTGAAGGTACCAAAGACACTAGCAAGGTTCATAATTTTCAACAATGTTAGCCAGAGTGAACATTTTCACATGATAGATCTAATCAAGGCACAGACTCTCACATAAGCCCCTGATGTATTATACCTTATAAAAGGAGTACAGACAGGACCCTGATTCTTGAATTTGCTAAATGTGTTATCTTGGATGGATTTTAACTTTTGATAGGTTATTTTGGTAATCATTATGTAATTAGAGAGTCTAAAGGATATTAAACTAAATTATACATCTACTAACCAAAAGTCATTTTCTATCAGTTAACATTTAGGTATCGCATATAAATGTCTACAGTAAATACTACTCTTTTACCAATTATCTACTACAATCAGTTTAGTTTTTAGTATTCTGATTTCTATAGACAATCCATTTTCAAAGGTAAATCTATGAATTAGAAGAAACAAGGCACTAAACTATCATTAACAAAATAAAATGAATAATCTTGGAGTATCAAGGGAGAAAAATTAGAAAGGATTAAGGAAATGAAGGAGAAGGTGAAAGGAGAAAGGGATGTGATAAGAAAAAAGGCACACTCACAAAAGAAAGCAAACAATCATTTTTTAAAGTAATTAACATCTAAAAAGTATTTTTAATGTTGTACAAATATTCAAAAAAGAGAAAGGAAGAACAACCTATAAGTATGAAAAGATATTCAGCGGAATATTTGCTACTAGAGCTATTAATACTTTTAAAGATCCATAATTTCAATGGTATTTTCACCAATGCATAACACAATCATTTCATGCTGATTGAATCACTTAATGAAATTCTCTAAACAAAAATAAAATTAAGTGATTCACATGTTAGCACAAAGTCTATGCCAATGGAGTTCAAGCTATGGCAGACATTACGCTAAAAGTGTTCAAGTCAAGGTTAGGTTATTTATTTGCAGTTTATCTAACTAGAAATCTTAGGATCTTAACCTACTTTTCCAGTATAGTGTTAACCCTGCCAAGAACAGCTGTTTAAGTGAGCAAAAATTCTGTATTAAAAGAAACTGAAACTAGAATTCATGTACATGACTGACAAATCATGACAGAAAGATATGACTTGTTAACTATTTCTTCAAAATTTGCAAATCTTTAATTTTATTATCAGGGGTCCTCTGCCTCCATCAATATTAATCTCTAGCCTGTATTATTCCAGTAGCTGGTCTTTCAAAATGTGCAACTGGCAAAAATTTCATTATTTTGTGACCAACCTAGTAATGGGATTATGATTAAGTTATGACATTTCACAACTTATTTAGGCCAGTTGTCAAACAGATTACACTGTCCTATAGATTATATTATACAGGGCCTACACTATTTTTTAAACAAAAATGCATAGTTTTTGTTTGAGAGAAATCAGTGGATAGAAGGAACAAAAAATATAACAAGGTAAATGACAGCTCACATCAAATACTAATCAACTTAAGGAAAAAATAGCAAGTCAATTCATCTTGTAAAATTCGCATTTACATACAAAATTTTCAAGTTATATAGTCTGTTCAAAGATTTTAAAACAAATTTAAGTCTCAAAAAAATCCTTGAAATAATCCATAAGGATATAATTTCTTAGTTCTTCAAAATAAGTAAGGAAAGTCAAATCAAATATCCAGGTGTAAAAAAAGGATAAACATTCCAAAAATATGTATAATTCCTAGTAATTTTAAGATGTAACATTTTAAGTACTAAACAATTAATCGGGGAGGGGGGGAGGAGAATGCAAGGCAAAGATGATCAGCTAACCAAAATCTCAACACTGAGAAATCTGGTATATACTGTCAGCCACAAAAAAAAAAAACATCTGTTCATACTAATCACTACTGCTATGTTTACTTCATCCCTCCCAGAAGATCAGTGGTGGTTCATTCAGCTACTGCAGAAGGAAAAAAGTAGTTACAATACAACAGGTAGGAAATGAAATGATACCTATCAGTCAACAGGAACAGTATGAAAACTTGAATAGCTGTCCTTGAGACCCACAGTTTAAGAAGCGCAGAAGGTGGGGCAGCTAGGTGGCGCAGTGGATAGAGCACTGGCCCTGGATTCAGGAGGACCTGGGTTCACATCCAGCCTCAGACACATAACACTTACTAGCTGTGTGACCCTGGGCAAGTCACTTAACCCCAACACCTAACCCTGCCCCCCTCCAAAAAGGAAGAAGCACAGAAGGGGTCGCAAGTGGGAAAAGTTTAAGAAGCCCTAAATGGACAGAGAGAGGAGTGGTTTTCTAGCCCTCTTCTTGCTCCTGAAGGCTCTGGTAGGGTGTATTTCACACAAACGCCAGCCCAAGGGAGAAAATGGTCACTTACATCAAAGCTCTGCGTTCCTGACCAAACTCAGCTTCATAGTAGCCATCTCTACAGTCTTTTCCAACTAGATCATGGGGATGTGGTTTGTACGGCTCATTCTTTGTTACCAGAGTTATTCTCACTTTTCCTCTTCCTTTCCCATAGCAATTCATTATCTGAAAAAAGGAAGAAATTTCAAGAAGTAAAATGAAACCATGCATCATGAACAGCTTATCTATTCACTACTGACCTCCCCCCCCCAAATAGTTTTATTTACATACCATATTCAAACATTGCATGAATGGAATTGGATAGAGATTTCTATAAAATATTAGACTGGAAGGATTAACCTTTTCTTGGCCTTGGGCTCTTGCTTCTAACTTCAAACTGTGAAGTCACCTGACTTCACAAATGAGTAAAACAATGCTCATTTAAAACTACTATTACATACAATTAGGAGAAATTCAAATGTAAATTATAGAATAAATTATCATTGCCTAAATGCACACATAAAATAAGTCAAATTGATTTTAACATAGTCCATTTACTGTGATACCAAAAAAAAAATTCCTTGTACTTGTATATTTAAATCACATTACAATCAATTTCACTTCAAAAACCATTTAAATACAGCTAAAACTAATCATTCATCATCTTGGTTTGGAAAAATATTTATGATAGTCTGCGTTTATTGAGTGCCAAGGACCATTATTAGGATAAAGAAGTGACCAGGATGACAAAACAAGTAAGTTTTACTAGAACTGTTTAGAGAAAATATGACTTCAATGAAGATTCATTAAGAAGGTGAAGCATAGTTTGGTGGAGGGAAGGAAAGAAGATTTTAGACCAGAGGAAATGATTACTATTTAGAGCAGTGGCTCTCAAAACTTTTTGGTCTCAGAACCCCTTTACACTCTTAAAAATTACTGAGGATCTCCACAGGGTTTTTGTTGTATTTGCTGTATTAGAAATTAAAGCATCTTATAATTATTATGAAAATCATTTTGACCTTGGGTGAACCCCAACTCCCAACCCTTGGCAAAAGAGACCTGGAGTCCCTTGGACTCTCAAGACCACATTTTGGGAACCACTGATTTACAGGAAGGGATAGGTAAAACAGAGTACATGGATAAAACTAGAGTACAAACCAGGGTAGAACAAAGTAAAGGGCAATTAGCAACGCAAGAGGGAATCCATGGTAACCTCACAACTGCCTTTTGAATTTAACTTCATTTTGAAAGGCAACTGGAAAATACTGCAGGGACTTGATACTGAGGGTGGCCTGACCACAATGCCACCAGAAGAGAGCTAGCAAAAAGGTTGTTCTAGTTATGTTCCCAAGTCCTATCACGACGTCTTAATGCCTGCATGGAGGTGGTGAACAGAGGATGAATGATGTCTTTTAGAGGACTGGGGGAAACAGCAACATTCCTGATGGTAATAAGAAGTTGGAAAGAGGTAAGAACCTGGGTATTCATGTTAATGGGATCTATTTCTTAAAATATATTTTTATATTTTTTGATGGCAATAGGACATCAAAGAGATGGTGAGACATTTGAGATTAAATAAAGAACCAAATGCTAGGGCTAAAAATGTCAATCTGAAAATCATTAGTGAATAGATGATAACTAAAGACAGGAAAATAGAGCTTCCCAAAGATAAAGTAGAAGAAGATCAGAAACCCTTTGGGCAACCCCATAATGTATGGGCTAAGGAAGAAAAGGAGTCTTTGAAGGAATAATCTGAGAGATGAAGAAAAACCAGGAAAGCATAGCATCCTGATATGAAGATCGGAATATTTCAAGAACATTTCATATTTTAACTTTTATTAACATTTTTCTTTTTTTGTATTGTTAGAGAACTCTAATAATCAAAACTCTAGCATTAGAGTTTTAGCATTATGCTAAAATTGGGAGAGTCTGAATTCTGTGGCTTTAACAAGTTTCTTTAACCTACATAAGCCTTAATAGAATAGAAATAGCAAGCTATTTCATTATTAAAAGTGACTTGAAATCTTCAGATTTCAAGATGAAAGGTACTATATAACTGCAAATAACAAGTTACCTGCCAAAAAAAACTTTATTTTGCTGAACTTCATTTGGCATTTTATGGTAACAATTTCTCTCTTTAAAACTACGTAAGAAAAGTAGACATAATAGAATCCTATTGTGTCATAAGAATGCTGATAGGGATGATTTCAGAGAAATCTGGGAAGACTTTTATGATGCAGAGAGAAGTGAACAGAATCAGAACAATTTATACAATAACATAATAAAGACAACTTTGAAACATTTAAGAACTCTGATCACCTTAATGAGCAACCCTGATTCCAGAGGACCAATAATAAACTTCACTACTCACCTGACAAGAGTTCACTGATTCAAAATACATGAGACATACATTGTTAGACATGGACAATGAGAGGACTTATTTAGCCAGATTATACGTCTTTGCAACAAGGGTTTTGCTTTTGTTTTTCTATTCAATGAGGAAAAGGGGGAAGGAAAGAAAATTAATGTTTGTTGGTTGGGGGAAGAAAAGATGTCCATCAACTGGGGAATGGTTAAATAAATTGTGATGTGTGAACACAATACTGTGCTGTAGGAAGCTATGCTGCTAAAGAATTCCGGAAATCATGAGAAGATTTATATAAACTGATGGAAAGTGAAGAAAACAGAACCAGAATATACACAATGACTACAACAATACAAATGGAAAGAATGGGAGGAAAAAATGCAAAGGAACACTTTGTAATTACAATAAATAAGCTTGGTCCCAGAAGAGAGGGGAGGATGCACTTCTCCATTCCTTTGCACAAATGGGCAACTATGAAGGTGGGACAAAGCACATATTGTCAGACTTGATTAATCCATCAGTTAGTTTTGATGAATTGCTTTTTTATTCCTTCTTTTCTACTCTGTTATAAAGAGAGGTTCTCTGAGTAAGGAAAGGGGAGAGATATATTAGAAAGAAAAGGTAATATAGAAATATATCAAGAAAAATTAAAAGAAAAAGAAAAATAGTTTGGATATTTACAAATTATGTTAGTAAAAGACATCATGGTCTAGTGGTTAGAAAGCTGGCCTTGGAAGGCCTGGGTTGAGGTTCCACCTCTCAAACAAACTGACCATGTGCTCTGTCTGGGTAAGCTATTTAACCTTTGCAATGGTCTGGGCAATTCTTTAAGATTATAATTTTCAGAGGAGATGCCAATCTATGTTGGTAGAGAGATTTTCCTCACTGGAAGTTCCCTGTACCAATGAAATTACAGATCTGGCTCCTATCATCTCTCCCTATACTAAGATTTTACTGTATAAAATTACCGTTTGAATAATCACTTTAAGTCAAGAATTTTATCCTTTTTCTGGATTGGTATGAAAAAAAATGAACATATATAAAGTAATAAAATTCCCAATCAGCAAGTGCAGGTACAAGGTCAGGGACAGACATTGTGGGCAGGGTAAAAAAATGAAAGGATGTTGTTCCTCTTCCTTCTCCTAAGCCTACATTCTGGGAAAAGAGAATGGGAATCATGGCTGAGGTAGGCGCTAATTTTTTTAGCTGTAGAGTAGCTCTGAGCCCAAGGGGAAGGAGGATGCCTTCTCTTTATCCTCTACAAAAAGGGTCATGATCCACAAACTGGTTGAGTATGAATTACTTTACCATATTACATTTTTTGATAAAACAATTCATACACCAAAGAATATCATGCCACAGTCTGTCTACAAGGAAACCTAGAGAAAACATTCCTGAACATCTCGTCACTTGGTATACATTGTCAAAAAACAAACTCCCACCCCAAAACAATCTGATATCTTAAGCATATAGTATCTAAAAAAGTTGCAAGAAGAAAATTATTGGTGACCATGCAGAAAATGTACCTCTTGTAAAATTGTGAAGCTCTTCTGATTGTGTGAACAAGAAAACAGTGGTCTATTACCTGTATAGATGGGTATGTTCGGTTATTATCTGTACTGTGTTCTCCTGGAATGCTCCCTGCTGACCGTCCTTCACATTTATAACGAAAACGCATGCCCCTTTGCCTGGGCTGTTCAATTATTTCTACATATGGTTCATGTCCACCTAAAATTAAAACAAAAAACAGGTGAGGTTAGGGTAGCAATAGCATTAGATTTTTAACAGTCTTTATTTTTCAATAGACAAATGTAGATTTGTTTTCTTTACAAGTAAACTACAGAGTTGAAATTCAAATAGATTATGATATTGGAAAGGGAGAAGTGAGGAAAGAAATAAAATCAAGCTTTCACACAATGGCAACCCATTTTTTTTAATAGTTGGTAGGATCAATTTGTCCCTAGAGATCTAAAAACTTTGAACTGGCATGAACTATGAGATCACCACTTCTGAGTTTTCTAAATGAGCACCAGGGGTTCCCCCAACATTCTTGCAGGAGTGTTAAGAAGATAATAGTGCTTGAGTGTTTTTAGTGCCAGCTCCAAGAACAAGTAAATTACAACTGAAAATATTTTATTTAATTAAATTTATCAGTTGTTGTGAACTAATATTTTACAAGAACACGCAGAAAAAATGATACCAAGCTTTTCCTAGCCTTCAAATTCTTCTAGAGAAATGAAGGATAGGTTTGACATAAAACTTAAAATTCCACTAAAACTTTTAAGTAATATATGAAAACTAGATAAAATAAGCAGACTTAGCAAGACTTTAAGGGGAAATCAGTTCACCAAGATTAGAGATCAAATGGATTTTTCAATAAGATTAAAATGCTTTACTATGTTACAATGTAGGAAAAAATATATATAAAGTGATTTTTACTTATATAATGCTAAAATTCATAATATGCAATTTTGTTCTTTTTTTATCAAATAGCTTCTTATCAAAAAAAATTGATCAAGAATACTGATTCTGCTTTACAACTAGGTACAACTTTCAATTCTCCCCTTTAACTCCCCAAATATACGCCACTGCCTCAGCCTATGGAAGTCTGAAATTGAAATATTTCAATTCGATATGTGCAAGGTATAGTGTTATCCCTGATAAACTAAAACAAAAAATAAGTAAGCATCATAAAAAGAGCACTGGATTTGACGTCTGAGGATCTGCGTTTGATTCCAGCTGTATGTACTACCTGGATGATCTCAAGCCTTTCCGGGCTTCAGTTTCCTCAGACATAAAATGAAGGAGGAACTGAGGACCCTTCCAGCTCTAAAAATAACCCTATGATGCGACCCTTCCTTCAAAGAGTTTACATTCTATTGGAACGATAGACTATGTACACAGAGAAGGATTCTGATGAGGGAAAGAGGGATCAGGAAAGGCTTCTTCATTCCTTATAGGCTCAGGGTGGGGAACTCTCTTTTAAGGTTTTGGCATCTGTTAAAATGCAAGGACCACTGAAATAGACCATTATTAATAACTAGGAGAAAGAAAGGCAGCATTTAATTTGCCTTAAGAATACACAGCAGTATTGTAGTTTTACTAAATAAGAAATGAACAGAATTTGTGGCTAAAATGATTACTATTACAGAGCAGAACATTAGCTTCCTACTGTGAATTTTCATAAATTTGCATGCATTTTATTTTACTGACCTTAGGTCAGGTTTTCCTGGGCTTTATTGGCATTTTTGGTCAGGGGTGAGTGCTTCAAACAGTTATATCATTATTTATTTGTACCCCATGAGCACAAGAATAAATAATTTCTTTTTCTTGGTGAGGCAGTTAGGGTTAAGTGACTTGCCTAGAGTCACACAGCTGGTAAGTATCATGTGTCTGATGCCACATTCGAACTCAGGTCTTCCTGACTCCAAGGCTGGAGCTCTAACCACTGCACCACCTAGCTGCCCCAAGAGAAATCTTTTTTTTTCTTTTTGGGTAGGCAATGGGGTTAAGTGCCTAGGGTCACATAGCTACTAAGTGTCAAGTGTCTAAAGTCAAATTTGAACTCAGGTCCTCCTCACTCCAGAGCTGATGCTCCATCTACTGCACCACCTAGCTGCCCTGAATAAATAATTTCTTAAGAAGTAACACTATGAAGAGAGGCCATGTGGGATAGCGACTAGGAATCAGGAAAACAAGGATATGGTCTTGGCTCTGTCACAAAACAGCTGAGTGCAGTCACTTAACTTGGCAGCCTCCCCCACCCCCAGGCAACTCTAAGACAATAAATTACAGCAGGAAGGAGTTTGCACATTGAGAGTTCTTTATAGTGAAATCAAAGGTAAAGAAGCAAAAAGTCCAGAACAAACCACGATGAAATTGTGTGTGTGCGTGTGTGTGTGTGTGTGTGTGTGTGTGTGTGTGTAAAATGATGAAAATGATGAATTAGGTGGAGGCTGTCTTCTGGCCCTCCAATACCCATTCTCTCCTCGGTGGGGCTGCCTCCTCCTCCCAAACCCTCAATTTGTCTTCATACTCCTCTCCCCATGTGATGAAAACTTCTACTTGAGGAAAAATCTGATAAACTCATTCATATTAAGTTATAATAAGGAAACCTAACCATCTGCTTTTAATCATTAGATAAGCCTTCTCCACCCAGACATCTTTAACTAGGTAGTGGGTAGGACTTACTTGACCTTTAGTCTGACCGTACATTTTGCTGATCTTATCAATGAATAAAGAAGAAAGTGGGGTTTTTTCTTGGGGGGGGGGGATATAGATTGGATCTATGATTTCATCATTGTAGGGAACTCCTAGTATGGAAACTCCATCTAAGTAACTGGTCTACAACTTACTCTCTTAGTGAACTGCTCAGGGGCACGGAGAGGTGGTGTCGCTTGCCTGTGGTCACATAGCTAGCCTGTGTCAGAGTGGGAAATTTAGACAGCACCAAATGTGAGAGGAGCAAAAGTTTGCACTTAATACTCCTTCAGCAGAGTAGAAGGAGGTGAGGGGAGTTCAGTTACAGGTAGCTGAAAGAGTACTGCAGCTTGCTTGCTCCCATAAAGAAATTCCTAACTTGCCATGCCCCACCCTTCTTCTCCCTTCTTGGGATTTCCCCTTCTGGCTCTCCTTTACAGGAAGAAGAACCTCTCCTGCCCTCCCTCTGCGAGCAGGGCCACATTCCCCCCGCATAGGAGAAAAATCCCAGTGCCACCTTCCCCATCATGTCTTGTGTGGGAAGGAACTTAGCTGGGTCTTCTCCAGTGGAATAGAAAGAAATCCAAAATCACTCTAAAAATCCATTAATTGGACCAGATCAAAATGAAGATTCTATACCTCTGAAACACTGTAGTAGTCTACTCTCACTCTACTGAATTTGTCTTAATTATTTCTCTATCCTTTTCCCATAACGAATTACTGAGTTGATTTAAGGACACATTTCTTGGTGCCTGCTCCAGGCAGCAGTAACCCTGGAGCCAAAACCGTAGGTTTATTTTGAGCTTCTCTGTGCTTTAGGGGTATCCATAAAATGAGGAAGTCAGATTAAATAATATCCAGGATCATACCTCTAGCATTCAAAGGTTATCATTCTTCCTCTAATGCTGATATCTGAGTCTGTGGAGGACATTAGAGGAACTAAACCTATGATTAATAAGACTTCATTTAGATAAAAGAAAATTTAATGTTTTATATAAGAGACTGTCCACATCTTCATATTTTCACATCCCACCCTCGTCCTGATTTTTTTATTTCTACTTCCCTGTATGGAGATACGTTTATCTCTTTATATAAACAAGTTTTTTTTTAATTTCCTAGCTATAAATCACTGACTATAAGGAACAAAACAGTAACATGTAGCAGCTATTTCCCCAGATAATTAAAATACTGTGTATTTTCAAAGCACTTTTCTTTGACAGAGTGAAAAGAAAGATGCTAAAATATATTCATCTGTGGAACAGAGAAAATGAATACCTACCATAAGCCAGTGAATGACAGGAAAAATAAAATGTTTAACCAAGAATACTATCAGAGAATCACAAAATTTTAGAGTTGAAGGGAACATGGGGATCCTCTGGTCTAACCTTCCCTTTCAGAAAAAAGTCAAATATCTGGCTATGGGAAAGTCTAGTTCACCTTTAATAACAGTTCTAAGTAGGATTTTTACTATTGCATTTTCCTATAAAAATTATACTACAGACCAAAATGCCAATTAAATCACAGCAAATATTATGCAAAAAGAAAACTAGTTATGGAAGTATTTAGGCAGATAATTGATAGGCATCTTTGGCAGTTCCTTCCTCCTAAACTCTGAAGAAAACAATCAAAAACATTATTTTTCATTGATACTGATTTTTTAAGTATACAAAAAACTTTAAACTGAAAGAAATATGCAATACCATACTAATGAAAAATCTCCCAATTATACACATTCATACCTTTGGAACCACCTTTGATTCCTCTATCCAGTTGAATCCAATATAATATTCCAACACACAAATCAGTCATTACTAAGCACTGTTAATTCTATCACTGAAATATTTTTTGTAACCATCCCCTACTCCCATTCTCCTAGTTTAGGCAGTCATGTTGAACTTAATTGCCAGGACTACTGAAATAGAAGACTACTGAAATTGAGGTAGTTAGATTGCTCAATGGACAGAGTACTAGACCTGGAGTCAGGAAGACTCAAAGACTTCAAATTTAGCCCCAGACATTTAATCGCATGTGACTCTGTTTGCCTTAATCCACTAGAGAAGAAAATGGCAAACCATTCCAGCATCTTTGCTAAGAAAATCGAAGGGACAGTATGGCCCATGGGGTTATAAGGAGTTGGATATGACCAAACAACAACAACTGAAATAGCCTAAATAGATCTCCCTCTGTCCCATTTCCATCCTGCCACAATCTATCTACTCCATACTCTATTCCCAGACTGGTCTAGCTAATGCTCAAGTATGACAACCTTAAAAAGCTCCCTGTTATATACCAAAGAATTCCACTAATCAGACCCAAACCTATATGGACAATCTGATTTAACAACAGCTTCCCTCAGGTACTTTATACTCCAACTAAACTGTACTACTTATTCGGTGCAAAACTGAACCACTAAATGAGTCCTGCGCTTTCCGGTTTTCATGCCTATGTTCATGCTGTCTCGTTTCTATAATTCCCTTCTCATTCATCTCTACCCATCTTCTACCCATCCTTCCATGTTCAACTCAAAT